GGCTGGCTGGAGCCGTGCCAGGTGCAGGATCTGCTGGCTGGGTGCTGGCAGGCTTGCACCTGGCATGGGCACCGTAGCCAGCCCATTCCCCTTTAAGGGGTCCGGGGCCGGGAGGGGGGCAATAGAGTTTCCCTGGTGTTGGCCAGAGTGGCCACCAGGGAAAGCTGGGGAGGGCTAGCCTCCCACTAGTTCGAATTAAGGGTCTACACAGCCCTTAATTCGAACTAGTAAGTTCGAACTAGGCTTAATCCTCGTAAAATGAGGATTACCTAGTTCGAACTAAGCGCTCCGTTAGTTCGAATTAAATTCGAACTAACAGAGCACTAGTGTAGCGCCTATGAAAGTTAGTTCGAACTAACGTCTGTTAGTTCGAACTAACTTTGTAGTGTAGACATACCCTAAGAGCTTATCTGAACAATTCAGAAACTTTTTTTGTTCTAGCTATGGGCGATATTTTAGGATTAGGTTTTGTTTTATTTCCCAGACTTGATGCTCCATTCCTATTTAAGTTTTGAAGGGACGATTTATTTCAAGGAGTGGAGAAAGGTGGCGGGCCTTGACGGGGTATATAAGAAAATGCATTGTAAACCAAATATTTTCATTATCACCGCATTCCTCAACTAAAATAAAGATATCTACTCCATGATAGCTACCTATGGGATGTATCTTCAAAAAATGTACCTGATAACATATTTTAAAAACCATGAATATCGTCAGTGGTAAGGTTATGCTCCATAACATGTGAAAGTGACGGTGCTGGACAGAGGGGGTTGTATATTTTCATTTTTTAAATGATAGTTGGGTTGTAGAACTGATTGGTTTTATTTCTTCCTCAGGATGACAAGACACCACAAAGATGAGGCACCAGAACTTCAAGTTGCAACATTAGAATGTGTTTCATAAGGAAGAGCGCACTTACTAACTTATTTTATGGATGCCACTGAATTCAGCTTTGAAGGGCACCAGAAGCACGTCACAAACCTGGAATGGGAAATCACAGCAATAATCATACTTGTTTGACAGATGATTCCTTTAAATACAACTTGTATGGGGCTGTATACAGTGTTGTTTTCATCCTTGGCTTGATCACAAACTGTGCCTCTCTGTTTGTTTTCTGCTGTCGAATGAAAATGCGAAGTGAAACAACCATTTTCATGACAAACCTTGCTGTTTCTGACTTGCTTTTCGTATTCACTTTGCCTTTTAAAATTTTTTATAATTTCAACAGGCACTGGCCTTTTGGGGACAGTCTGTGCAAAATTTCAGGGACTGCATTTCTCACCAACATATATGGCAGTATGCTGTTCCTCACTTGCATTAGTGTCAGCCGATTCCTAGCCATTGTCTACCCATTCAGATCTCGTGCCATTCGGACAAGAAAAAATTCAGCCATCGTGTGTGCAGGAGTCTGGATATTAGTTCTCAGTGGAGGAATATTAGCTTCATTGTTCTCCACAACCAATGTCTCTAACACTAGTACAACCTGCTTTGAGGGTTTTTCTAAAATTGTTTGGAAGACCTATTTGTCTAAGATCACTATATTTATTGAAGTGGTAGGATTCATAATTCCTTTGCTAATCAACCTCACATGCTCTTCGCTGGTTCTGAGGACTCTCCGGAAACCTGCCACATTATCTCAGATTAGGACAAACAAAGAGAAAGTACTAAAAATGATCATTGTGCATGTGACCATTTTTGTAGTATGCTTTGTGCCCTACAATTCCATACTTTTCTTATATGCTCTTGTGCGATCTCAAGCCATAGCAAACTGCTCCCTGGAGAGGTTTGCTAGGACAATGTACCCAATCACATTATGCATTGCTACAATGAATTGCTGCTTTGACCCATTCATTTATTACTTCACGTCAGAATCTTTTCAAAAGTCTTTCAATATACACCCCCAAATACAAATGGACTCCCTTTCCAAGACTGAAACACCTCTAACAATGAAGACTCCACTGCCTGCAATACTGGAGGAAGTGAATGACCAGCCTATTACAAATGGAAGTGATCCAACAACTGAATCACATTTCTAAAGGCTTGTAAACACACAGAGTTATTCCTGATTAATTATCCCTGATTCACGCCACATCTGGACATCCTTATTCCAGAATAAGAGTGCCTTGTTCCTGTTTAGCTTAACACATTTGAAAAAAGACACTTTCAATCTCCTGGAACAAAAGTGACCACATGTGAAGTTATTTGGAAATTTCTCCATGTGTAGATAAATCCATCAGATTACAGGTTTCTCAGTTTTGAGAACTCAAGATATGTAAACCCAGATAGATCTCTGTGGAGATTATGGATGGAGGGAATGCAGCTGATACTTGCACTGAAAGATACCAACATTTGGTATGTTTTCCTGGCATTAAACATGAGACCGGTCAGGAAATATGAAAAGTTTACCATACTGTAGAAATCTCAGTCAATTTTTTCCAGTCTTTTGAAAATACATCATATGTTAACCCAGTTTCACACATATGTATGTATTATTTCAAATGTAAAATAAAAACTTTCAGCTTTTCTACACGTGTATATTCTGGGTTTGCTAGACACGGGGGGATTAAAATGACAGTAGGTATTGGGCTGGTTTGGAGCTTAATTAGTTCTCTTACATAATGCAGTAAATGGTTGTACTAATAAAAGGAAAGAGCAAATAATTAAAGGACTTAAATATACAGTCATGTGCAAGATGCTGTATTCTTTTGAGCTGCATGATTAAGTTTCCTTTCAACTGATTTTAACATTGTATTAAACATCAACCATAGATAAAAGAAAGCATGTTTACAGACTTGTTAAGATTGGTGTTTCCACATCCCACACTGTTACTGCCAAAGACCAGCCCTTCCCCAGCACAGACAGCTCAAAGGAAAGACATGATCCCACAGAGTTCTTGCACCTCCATCTTTCTTAATCACATTGATACTACACATTTTCTGGTTGATGGTGTTAGTCTATTTCTAACTACCTGGGATAAAGACAGACTACAGTGAACAGAAAAGAGAGACTTCTTTTTAACCATTTGTTTTAATTCTTACATGTTGAATCTTCTGTGACATACAAACAACCCATTAGGTCTAATTACATTATTAAATGGTTAGTGTTTAAATGCTTACTAACTGCAAAAAAAAAAAAACACTTTGAAAATAATACTTATTTAGCAGTACCATTGTTGTGGTTGAAAGAAACAGTCCTACACTGAGCAAGACAAACCGACTCTATAGTTCAATATATTTTAAGCTCTTAAATTACTATAACACCTGACTTCTAGCACTCAGGTAAAGAATGACTATATGATAGATTGTATATAGGGAATTTCACAATCCAAACAACAGAGTGGCTTTGTGTTACAGCCATCTTGACTAGAAACTGACATCTTGTACTGGGATTTACTGCTGCATAAGTCTCAGGGCAACAGTGGGCAGTCAGCATTTCCAGACAAGAAAGCAAACATGACAACAAGAACAGATTATTCTAGCCACTTGGGAGTGTAAGTTAATAGCTGGAGCAGGTGGCAGGGCAGGGTACACCAGCATTGCCCTGGTGAACTCATTGATGCTTTGAGGCAACCCAAATGATAAAATTAATTGGCATTTTACGAAGTTGCAGGGCTTACTCAGCAACCATCCATCATGCCTGCTTTGCATTGCCAAACCCACCGTCAAATACCAAACATGCATTCAATTTTAACCAGATTGTTTTGCTCCCCCTCGACAAAATACTTGGATCTATATAGGAACATGTGTGCTCAAGGAGGAGATTGTTCCTGCAATTCAATACAGCCCATTTAGTCTTATGCCAAATGGATGAGAGGTTCCTCCTTCCATCCTCACTTCAATACCTGCACAGAATCATTTACAAGATTTCTGAAATCTCTTTCCTTTGGGCGATGAACCTGTTTCAATACTTGCCATAAGTTATATGCATTTCAAAGAAGCTGCTCCCATCACTTCACATCAAACCACAATATGTGGCAAGTGATCTCTTTGTGGCAAACTGTCACTCCTAAGCACTGACAAGGAAGCGGTCGGATCTGTCAAATCAATAACAAGTCTGGCAGCTCCTCCCATTAACTGGCTTTTGAATGTTGATACCTAAAATGTATGAACTGATGAGGAAGAACGTCATTGTTCATGGGAGTAGATGGAACAAAGAATGAAAAGGGAAAGGGATATAATTGGAATCTACATTGCTGAAATAATGATGAATCAAGCCATTTTCCACTGAAGAAGGGAAAATATCATGGTGAATGGGTAAGCTGAGATCTCAGGGGTAGGATCCATTTATATTACAGTATTATTTTAGTCTTAGAAAACAGAAACTACTAAGTCAATGCCAGCTCATTCTTAATCGTAAGATTTTACTTTCCCCTTGTGATGCTCTGTGCTTTAAATCTACTTTGTACATTCGTGCAATAAGCATAAACCCCACAATTCTTCAATTACATGGGGGTAGTTGGGATGTTCTTGGGCCAAAATCTGTCCTAAGCTAATGAAGGCAAGGGAGTTTTATTGGTGTATGTGAGAACAGAACTTGGCTCGCTATGTTGAAGTTGACTACAAAGGAGTATCTTGTTATCAATGATCTTGGAAAACCTCACACTTGATTCAAGTCTACTCTTCTACTAGTTAAATTTGCAATTCTTTTAAAACCTAGAAACCACTGTCTAGCCTTCTTAAGGAAACGTTAAAAGAGGAGGGAAAGAACTGTATGTGACTGGATACTATCCAGGCTGTAGATGCATAGCTTAACTGTAATGCTAGCATAATGGTTGTCTTTTTCTAAGTGAAACTAGTGCCAATGCTTACAAATTTCTGTTTGCAGTTTTATGGAGTGAGAGCTGTGGTTGATATTCTCACATAAAATGTAATACTATCATCATGTGCCAAAATGGTAACTGAAAAGATTCATTATTTTGTAATTTAATACTTTATAAGTTTATATGGAGATCATATGTTGACTGACACTCACATCTGGTAGGACAATTTTTGACTGATTTTTTTTTTCTACGTCAGGTAGACCAAATAAATGCCTGTATGGTTTGTATATAAGTAACCAATTATGCATTGAAAGAGAGGAATATAATTTTTCAGATGCTAGTAAGCAAGGATGGAAAGAACTCTGGTAGCAAATGAAAAAGTTGATTCTGTTTGCCTGGATAACTTGCACCTGGGTCCTTCCCCTTCGCCCCTCCCCGCACCCCCAAAAAAGAGCTTTTGTTAGCAAATAGAACAAAAAATGGTTTAGATGCAAAAAACAAATTAAAAAGGTCAGTGCTGTCATTTAGCTGAACCTGTGAGAGACAAAAATCTATAACCTTTATGAAGGAGTCCACTGATTTGTAGCCAGCTTTTCTTGTTTTACAAATTCACTTATGTGAATTGTTAGACTATAGCTTACTACATAGTTTTGGGCCACTATTTGTTCTATAAATAACTCTGGTGGTAAGCTGCAGCATTTGGAAACACTGACATGCAAAGAATACCTTTCATTTATATATAAACCTGTATCTGTGTAAAATGCCTTACAAATCTCATCTAAAAGTTTTGGTAGTAATGTGAATTTCTAAAGAGGTTGGTTATATTAAGACCATTATGTGCAGCTGTGGGACTAGCTTATTTATGTGGTAGCTAGTAAGACAGAGTTACTTTTATAGCAAAAGAACAGTGTGTGTTTATCTGATGGGGTAAGTTTTCATTGGCTTTGCCGAATTAAGGGAAACTCTCCAGACTAAATTTTAAATGGCCTTCAAGAGCAGACAGGCACCAGAAGGTCACAGAGAAAGTCTGTACATTGGGTCATGGTACCCAGAGGCCATGCTGGCTTGGTGAATAAGGAAGAAGGGTAGAAAGCATCCACACCACAGGTGCGTTGCACAGCTGATATATGATACTTGACTTTGGAAAAGGTTCAGAAAAAGGCAACAAAAATGATTAGGGATTTGGAACAGGTCCCATATGAATAGAGATTAAAAAGTCTGGGACTTTACAGCTTAGAAAAGAGGAGACTAAGGGGAGATAAGATAGAAGTCTATAAAATCATGACTAGTGTGGAAAAGGGAATAAGGAAAAATTATTTATTTGTTTCCATAATAAAAGAACTAGGGGTCACCAAATGAAATTAATAGGTAGCAGGTTTAAAACAAACAAAAGGAAGTTTTTCTTCACACAGTGCATAGTCAACCTGAGGAACTCCTTGCTAGAGGATGTTGTGGCGAACAGGACTTTAACAGGGTTCAAAAATGAACTAGATAAATTCATGGAGGTTAAGTCCATCAGTGGCTGTTAGACAGGATGGGTAGGAATGGTGGCCCTAGCCTCCGTTTTTGTCAAAGGAAATGGATGACAGGAGAGGGATCTCGTGATGATTACCTGTTCTGTTCACTGCCTCTGGGGCATCTGGCATTGGCTATTGTTGGAAGACAGGATACTGTGCTAGATGGACCTTTGGTCTGACTCAGTATGGCTGTTCTTATGTTCTAAAGTAGGTTCTGCCCCATGAGTACCACTATACCATAATAAGTGTGCCTTCCCCTCAGAGATTTTGAAAGGAGGGAACCCAGCTCCTAAGCATCTCTAATAACTTCAACAACATTCTTGGGGCCTCATACTACACTGTTTCTGGAGTTACATAAGGCCTATTCTCACCACACATCCAAAGGCACTGGGTATAGCCTTTGAGGGGTGTGTTGCCAAGAGGCAATGGTTCTTTCCTTAAAGGATTCGGAGGCAATAAGCACACAAATTGAGTGAAGGTTTAAAGATTTTACTAAGCAAATATTAAGATAAAGTACAATGCTTAATATCAGAGTAAAGTACAATGCTTATTAAGCAAATGTTAGAATAAAATGCAATGCTTACTAAGAAAGTACAATGCTTATTAAGCCTAAACGGATTTCAGAATAAAATGCAATGCTTATTAAGAGAGCACAATGCTTATTAAGAAAATCTTAGGATAGGATACAGTGCTTACTAAGAAAGTACAATGCTTATTAAGCCTAAACGGATTTCAGAATAAAATGCAATGCTTATTAAGAGAGCACAATGCTTATTAAGAAAATCTTAGGATAGGATACAGTGCTTACTAAGAAAGTACAATGCTTATTAAGCCTAAGCAAACCTCAGAATAAAATGCAATGCTTACGTCCCTTCTGCTGCTGGGAACCCTTTGAAGAAGGACAGTGGAAGGACCCCAGCAGCTGGTACGTAGCACCTCCTGCAGCTTTGGTCTACACCGAGGTTCCAATGTTAGGAATATCCCCAGAACTTATATACTATCGGATCTACATTACTCACACCGATTGTTTTGAGAACCTGGCAAAATTGCTAATACATCAAATATTTTCCCAGGCCACATAATTAGTTTTAGCAGGTGGTAAACATTCAACATAGATAGCCATGTGATCTTCCCAAGCACTCCTGTACTCCCATACCAAGTGGATGGCCTTGGGACCTGTACAATAACTTGTTGAAAGTAAACAGTGCATTCCTACACTGTACCCTCTTAAGCAAACAGCTAACTCTTTGAGAATAATAAGAGAATAAGAAGAAGAAGCAAAAAGCACAAATGGCTGCCTAGGGCATCCAGGCTTGTATGAAAATGCAGGTACAAAAGGAACAATTGTTGTACACCATCTAATTTCCTCAATCTCACAATCGTCTTCCGCATTTCCACTACAAGGGGAAGATGGGATTTGCTACTGGTACTCCAACAGTCTTTAAAGGGAGGCACATTTTCAGCGATATGGGTGCCTATCCCCAGCTAACTCACTGTGGAGGCACCAACCAGGCTGTCCCAATGGGCTTCTGCTCTGTCATTCCTAAGGGACTTAATTGCTGTACATTTAGGGAGGAGACAGCCACTTCCTGGGGAAAATGTTATCTCGGGACAGGGAACGGCAACAGTGACCCCTCTGAAGAAGGGCTATGTGTGCTCCACTTGTTTACAGCATAAAGAATGACTAGTTAGGTAAATCAAGACCTAGCTGTGTATTTAGTATCTTAGGAAGATGCAAATACAAGTGCTGTGCACAGTTAATTTCAAGAACACATGTCAAAGCAGTGATCTGTTCCCAGGATATGGGATGTTGGTTTCCATGAATCGGCTAGGCAGGGAGTATTTATTTTTATTAAGATTAAAGGACTAATCCCTTTGGAAACGGAAACCCCACTTTTCTCCAGATTGGAAGCAGCTGTAATGTAACTGCCACATGCTGCCCTCAGACCCAACAGAGCACTGACAGAAAGCTTCAGAACTGGATCTCTGACACATTTCTCTGAACCAGCGCTGTAATGCCAAGTGTGCCAACTTGCTGAACAAGGAGATGGATACTGGAGTTTTTATTTTGCGGATTAAATGCACCGAGGATTTAGCTGAGATCATTGTATTTAAGGTCCAACAAAACCTAAAAAGTGAAAGATGACTAGTTAGTAACTTAATGTTTGTATAAGCTTTCAGTGCAGAGCATGGGTCTCTCAAAGATGTGGAGGGCCTATGACATCGAGTGTAAAAGCTAGCCATGTTCACTACCCACACAAAGTCTTTCATCTAGAGGTCCACTCCAAATACTCTTAGGCTACATCTACACTGGCATGATTTTCCGGAAATGCTTTTAATGGAAAAGTTTTCCGTTAAAAGCATTTTCGGAAAAGTGCGTCTAGATTGGCAGGATGCTTTTCCGCAAAAGCACTTTTTGTGGAAAAGCGTCCGTGGCCAATCTAGACGCGCTTTTCTGCAAAAAAGCCCCGATCGCCATTTTCGCGATCAGGACTTTTTTGCGGAAAACAGTACTGCGCTGTTTACACTGGCCCAAGAGGGCTTTTGCCCGAACGGGAGCAGCACAGTATTTCCACAAGAACACTAATGATCTTACATGAGATCGTCAGTGCTTTTGCGGAAATTCAAGCAGCCAGTGTAGACAGCTGGCAAGTTTTTGCGCAAAAGTAGATGATTTTGCAGAAAAACTTGCCAGTCTAGACACAGCCTCAATGTTTATCAGTTTCAAAATTGTTAAAAGTTGGTGTTTCTGTCCTGAAAACAAGGTAAGATGGGTTTTCACAGATAGAACAGAGCCAAATTTGCAGACAATGGGGATGCAGAGATGACTTAATTCAGAATTCAGCCTGAAAATCTCTCTGGTGAAGGTCCCTATTCAAGACCGAGCCCATGTTGAGCCTTGGGTGAGCATGCAGGGATGGCTTTTAGAAATCATTTCTGCTGCAAGATGGGCTAATTTGAGTTAGACAAACATTGCATCATTTCTGAAGTAGCTTTTTTCAAAGTAGAACATCAGTTGAAATAATATTTATTATACTTTTTATTACATGCAATTCTGTTTATGACTCTTTAAACAGCACCCTTATTATATTAGATGCAAGATGCACCAGCATTACTGACTTCTGTAAAACACATGAATGCAAGAAGGAAAGTAGCTGGTTACTCCTTCAGGATTGGGTAGTTTGTGTGTGCAAGTTTTCCCAAAGATACTAAGAAAAATCTTGTGTTCGCACTTCTGTTTGTGAAATGTTGACTATAAACTTGTAAATATTGTATATAATTTTATTTAGCATTTGGAAATTTTGTGCAGTGTCCTCTATTATGTATGTATAAAGCAAATGTAACAGTTTGAGGGAAAAAATGTAGAGAGTATATTCAGCAAAATAAATGAAAATGAACACACAGAGATTAACCAGAATAACATTGAAACAAGATTTTCCACAGACCATTTGAAACATCTATGCCATCACACAGTCAGAATTTTCTGGAGAGCGTTAGCATGGATCATTCCAACCTTGTTGTTTTATATAAATATCCAAGCCTTTTTTTATTTATTTTTTGTGGTAGCACATCATTAGCCTTAGTCCCTAGGACCAAGCAGCACTTTCTTTGATGTTGCTCTCATTCACTAAACCACTTCTGAAAGTCGGCATCATAAGACCGCAGTCAGCTGATGAAACATCCAGTGTGGTTGCCAGAGAGAACTCATTTGATGTAGGTTATTTCCTTTAAATCCCAGCTGCCTGTATAGCAGAGGATGATAGTCAAAACACATACTACACTACACTACGCTAAAGGATCACTCTGAAAGCCAGAGCAACATTTTGTCATAGCTTGTGTAACAGATTAATTTTCCCCCCAGACTGGATCTTTGATTCCCCCATTTCTTCGCTTCTACTCTTTTTGATGAACTGCTGGATGGTGCTC